TCAGTCTGCTCTGTGCTCTGACGGTGTCTGTTCCGTCAGTCTGCTCTGTGCTCTGACGGTGTCTGTTCCGTCAGTCTGCTCTGTGTTCTGACGGTGTCTGTTCCGTCAGTCTGCTCTGTGCTCTGACGGTGTCTGTTCCGTCAGTCTGCTCTTGCTCTGACAGTCTGCTCTGTGTTCTGACGGTGTCTGTTCTGACAGTCTGTTCTGTATTCTGACAGTCTGCTCTGTGCTCTGACGGTGTCTGTTCCGTCAGTCTGCTCTGTGCTCTGACGGTGTGTCTTCCGTCAGTCTGCTCTGTGCTCTGACGGTGTCTGTTCCGTCAGTCTGCTCTGTGCTCTGATGGTGTCTGTTCCGTCAGTCTGCTCTGTGCTCTGACGGTGTCTGTTCCGTCAGTCTGCTCTGTGCTCTGACAGTGTCTGTGTTCTGACAGTCTGCTCTGTGCGCTGACGGTGTCTGTTCCGTCAGTCTGCTCTGTGCTCTGACAGTCTGCTCTGTGCTCTGACGGTGTCTGTGTTCTGACAGTCTGCTCTGTGCTCTGACGGTGTCTGTTCCGTCAGTCTGCTCTGTGCTCTGACGGTGTCTGTGTTCTGACAGTCTGCTCTGTGCTCTGACAGTGTCTGTGTTCTGACAGTCTGCTCTGTGCTCTGACGGTGTCTGTTCCGTCAGTCTGCTCTGTGCTCTGACGGTGTCTGTTCCGTCAGTCTGCTCTGTGCTCTGGCGGTGTCTGTTCCGTCAGTCTGCTCTGTGCTCTGACAGTCTGCTCTGTGTTCTGACGGTGTCTGTTCTGTGCTCTGACGGTGTCTGTTCCGTCAGTCTGCTCTGTGCTCTGACGGTGTCTGTTCCGTCAGTCTGCTCTGTGCTCTGACGGTGTCTGTTCCGTCAGTCTGCTCTGTGCTCTGACAGTGTCTGTGTTCTGACAGTCTGCTCTGTGCTCTGACGGTGTCTGTTCCGTCAGTCTGCTCTGTGCTCTGACGGTGTCTGTTCCGTCAGTCTGCTCTGTGCTCTGACAGTCTGCTCTGTGCTCTGACGGTGTCTGTTCCGTCAGTCTGTTCTGTGCTCTGACAGTCTGCGCTGTGCTCTGACGGTGTGTGTTCCGTCAGTCTGCTCTGTGCTCTGACGGTGTCTGTTCCGTCAGTCTGCTCTGTGCTCTGACGGTGTCTGTTCCGTCAGTCTGCTCTGTGCTCTGACGGTGTCTGTTCCGTCAGTCTGCTCTGTGCTCTGACAGTGTCTGTGTTCTGACAGTCTGCTCTGTGCTCTGACGGTGTCTGTTCCGTCAGTCTGCTCTGTGCTCTGACGGTGTCTGTTCTGACAGTCTGCTCTGTGCTCTGACAGTGTCTGTGTTCTGACAGTCTGCTCTGTGCTCTGACGGTGTCTGTTCCGTCAGTCTGCTCTGTGCTCTGATGGTGTCTGTTCCGTCAGTCTGCTCTGTGCTCTGACAGTCTGCTCTGTGCTCTGACGGTGTCTGTTCCGTCAGTCTGTTCTGTGCTCTGACGGTGTCTGCTCTGACAGTCTGCGCTGTGCTCTGACGGTGTGTCTTCCGTCAGTCTGCTCTGTGCTCTGACGGTGTCTGTTCCGTCAGTCTGCTCTGTGCTCTGACGGTGTCTGTTCCGTCAGTCTGCTCTGTGCTCTGACGGTGTCTGTTCCGTCAGTCTGCTCTGTGCTCTGACGGTGTCTGTTCTGACAGTCTGTTCTGTGTTCTGACAGTCTGCTCTGTGCTCTGACGGTGTCTGTTCCGTCAGTGTGCTCTGTGCTCTGACGGTGTGTGTTCCGTCAGTCTGCTCTGTGCTCTGACGGTGTGTTTTCCGTCAGTCTGCTCTGTGCTCTGACGGTGTGTGTTCCGTCAGTCTACTCTGTGCTCTGACGGTGTGTGTTCCGTCAGTCTGTTCTGTGCTCTGACGGTGTCTGTTCCGTCAGTCTGCTCTGTGCTCTGACGGTGTCTGTTCCGTCAGTCTGTTCTGTGCTCTGACGGTGTCTGTGTTCTGACAGTCTGCTCTGTGCTCTGACGGTGTCTGTTCCGTCAGTCTGCTCTGTGCTCTGACGGCCCTGCTCTGTGCTTTGACGGTGTCTGTTCCGTCAGTCTGTTCTGTGCTGTGACGGTGTCTGCTCTGACGGTGTCTGTTCTGTGCTCTAACGGTGTCTGTGTTCCGTCAGTCTGCTCTGTGCTCTGACAGTCTGCTCTGTGCTCTGACGGTGTGTGTTCCGTCAGTCTGCTCTGTGCTCTGACGGTGTCTGTTCCGTCAGTCTGCTCTGTGCTCTGACGGTGTCTGTTCCATCAGTCTGCTCTGTGCTCTGACTGTGTCTGTTCCGTCAGTGTGCTCTGTGCTCTGACAGTGTCTGTGTTCTGACAGTCTGCTCTGTGCTCTGACGGTGTCTGTTCCGTCAGTCTGCTCTGTGCTCTGACGGTGTGTGTTCCGTCAGTCTGCTCTGTGCTCTGACGGTGTCTGTTCCGTCTGTCTGTTCTGTGCTCTGACGGTGTCTGCTCTGACAGTCTGCGCTGTGCTCTGACGGTGTGTCTTCCGTCAGTCTGCTCTGTGCTCTGACGGTGTCTGTTCCGTCAGTCTGCTCTGTGCTCTGACGGTGTCTGTTCCGTCAGTCTGCTCTGTGCTCTGACAGTGTCTGTGTTCTGACAGTCTGCTCTGTGCTCTGACGGTGTCTGTTCCGTCAGTCTGCTCTGTGCTCTGATGGTGTCTGTTCCGTCAGTCTGCTCTGTGCTCTGACAGTCTGCTCTGTGCTCTGACGGTGTCTGTTCCGTCAGTCTGTTCTGTGCTCTGACGGTGTCTGCTCTGACAGTCTGCGCTGTGCTCTGACGGTGTGTCTTCCGTCAGTCTGCTCTGTGCTCTGACGGTGTCTGTTCCGTCAGTCTGCTCTGTGCTCTGACAGTGTCTGTGTTCTGACAGTCTGCTCTGTGCTCTGACGGTGTCTGTTTTGACAGTCTGCTCTGTGCTCTGACGGTGTGTGTTCCGTCAGTCTGCTCTGTGCTCTGACGGTGTCTGTTCCGTCAATCTGCTCTGTGTTCTGACAGTCTGCTCTGTGCTCTGACGGTGTCTGTTCCGTCAGTCTGCTCTGTGCTCTGACGGTGTCTGTTCTGACAGTCTGTTCTGTGTTCTGACAGTCTGCTCTGTGCTCTGACGGTGTCTGTTCCGTCAGTCTGCTCTGTGCTCTGACGGTGTGTGTTCCGTCAGTCTGCTCTGTGCTCTGACGGTGTGTGTTCCGTCAGTCTGCTCTGTGCTCTGACGGTGTGTGTTCCGTCGGTCTGCTCTGTGCTCTGACGGTGTCTGTGTTCTGACAGTCTGCTCTGTGCTCTGACGGTGTCTGTTCCGTCAGTCTGTTCTGTGTTCTGACGGTGTCTGTTCCGTCAGTCTGCTCTGTGCTCTGACGGCCCTGCTCTGTGCTCTGACGGTGTCTGTTCCGTCAGTCTGCTCTGTGCTCTGACGGTGTCTGTTCCGTCAGTCTGCTCTGTGCTCTGACGGTGTCTGTTCCGTCAGTCTGCTCTGTGCTCTGACGGTGTCTGTTCCGTCAGTCTGCTCTGTGCTCTGGCGGTGTCTGTGTTCCGTCAGTCTGCTCTGTGCTCTGACAGTGTCTGTTCCGTCAGTCTGCTCTGTGCTCTGACGGTGTGTGTTCCGTCAGTCTGCTCTGTGCTCTGACGGTGTGTGTTCCGTCAGTCTGCTCTGTGCTCTGACGGTGTGTGTTCCGTCGGTCTGCTCTGTGCTCTGACGGTGTCTGTGTTCTGACAGTCTGCTCTGTGCTCTGACGGTGTCTGTTCCGTCAGTCTGTTCTGTGTTCTGACGGTGTCTGTTCCGTCAGTCTGCTCTGTGCTCTGACGGCCCTGCTCTGTGCTCTGACGGTGTCTGTTCCGTCAGTCTGCTCTGTGCTCTGACGGTGTCTGTTCCGTCAGTCTGCTCTGTGCTCTGACGGTGTCTGTTCCGTCAGTCTGCTCTGTGCTCTGACGGTGTCTGTTCCGTCAGTCTGCTCTGTGCTCTGGCGGTGTCTGTTCCGTCAGTCTGCTCTGTGCTCTGACAGTCTGCTCTGTGTTCTGACGGTGTCTGTTCTGTGTTCTGACGGTGTCTGTTCCGTCAGTCTGCTCTGTGTTCTGACGGTGTCTGTTCCGTCAGTCTGCTCTGTGCTCTGACGGTGTCTGTTCCGTCAGTCTGCTCTGTGCTCTGACAGTCTGCTCTGTGTTCTGACGGTGTCTGTTCTGACAGTCTGTTCTGTGTTCTGACAGTCTGCTCTGTGCTCTGACGGTGTCTGTTCCGTCAGTCTGCTCTGTGCTCTGACGGTGTCTGTTTTGACAGTCTGCTCTGTGCTCTGACGGTGTGTGTTCCGTCAGTCTGCTCTGTGCTCTGACGGTGTCTGTTCTGACGGTCTGCTCTGTGCTCTGACGGTGTCTCTTCCGTCAGTCTGCTCTGTGCTCTGACGGTGTCTTTGTTCTGACAGTCTGCTCTGTGCTCTGACGGTGTCTCTTCCGTCAGTCTGCTCTGTGCTCTGACGGTGTCTGTGTTCCGTCAGTCTGCTCTGTGCTCTGACGGTGTCTGTTCCGTCAGTCTGCTCTGTGCTCTGACGGTGTCTGTGTTCTGATAGTCTGCTCTGTGCTCTGACGGTGTCTGTTCCGTCAGTCTGTTCTGTGCTCTGACGGTCCCTGCTCCGTCGGTCTGCTCTGTGCTCTGACGGTGTCTGCTCTGACGGTGTCTGCTCTGTGCTCTGACGGTGTCTGCTCTGTGCTCTGACGGTGTGTGTTCCGTCAGTCTGCTCTGTGCTCTGACGGTGTCTGCTCTGTGCTCTGACGGTGTCTGCTCTGACGGTGTCTGCTCTGTGCTCTGACGGTGTCTGTTCTGACGGTCTGCTCTATGTTCTGACGGTGTCTGTTCCGTGCTCTGACGGCCTCTGTTCCGTCAGTCTGCTCTGTGCTCTGACGGTGTCTGTTCCGTCAGTCTGTTCCGTGCTCTGACGGCCTCTGTTCCGTCAGTCTGCTCTGTGCTCTGACGGCCCTGCTCCGTCTCCAGCGGTACACCATCCGGTCGTCACTCTCGCAGCGCGTCGTCTCGTACACGGAGACGGCGCGCGCCTGCCGCCAGGTGTCCGGCCTGGTGGCCACACCCGCCCAAATGGACGCCGTGTTCGCGCCAAAACGGCGCCGGCGCATCGAGCGCGAAACGGGCGCCGAACTCACCTACGAGCAGCTGGGCGACCACTCGTGAGTGGCGGGCGGGGGGGGACCATGACTCGTGAGTGGCGGGGGCGGGGGACCATGACTCGTGAGTGGCGGGCGGGGGACCATGACTCGTGAGTGGCGGGGGAGGGGGGGGGGGGGCGGGGGCGGGGACCATGACTCGTGAGTGGCGGGGGGACCATGACTCGTGAGTGGCGGGGGGGGGGGGCGGGGACCATGACTCGTGAGTGGCGGGGGGCGAGGGTGAGTGGCGGGCGGGGACCACTGCCGGTCTCATTCGGCCGACTGAGCTCTCGCTGGTCTCAGTCATATTATCTCGTGCTATTGCATAGGTATCATGCTAGGATGCTTCACGCACGAAAGCTGTCAGGAAGCTGAAGCTAGTAACTAGGTATGTCCTTTCATTGTTCGGTCGCAAAAAAGTTAAAATTGCTAGTGCACTTATGTTTGTTGCTGGCACACATCCACGTTTGTTTTCGTTGTGAAATATGCATGCTTCTCGAACTTATCGCTAGAAGTGTCCCCTGTCGCTATCAGTGCCCCCCACCATCCGCCCGTCCCCTGTCGCTATCAGTGCCCCCCCCCCCCCCGTCCGCCGCCAGGTGGCTGATCAACATCTCCGGTGATGTGTCGGCGGCTCGGGCGGCCCACCAGCTGGTGCAGACGCTGCTGCAGGGTCAGCGGCTGCCCCGGCCGCGGCCCAGCAGTGCGCCGTCCTCGCCGGCCCGCGGCGAGTCGCCGGCGGGCGCGGCCAGCGCTCCGGCCAGCCCGCGGCCGCGGCGCCGCCAGCGGGCCGCCGCCGCGCGCAGGTCGGCGCCGGCTGAGGTGCTGGAGGTGGAGCTGCACTCGGGCTCCGAGGACGCCCGCTCGCCCGCCGAGGTGTCGGAGGTACCGCTCACCGTGACGTTGGAGTCGGACGACGAGCCGGGCTCGGAGCTCTCCGCACTGACGGCGGCCGGACGCTCCTGGGACCTGTCACTGCTCGACAGAGAGGATCGGGAACACGCGCAGAGCGCCGCGCGCACACCCAAACTGAGCAGAAAGCAGCGCAAGAAGCAGCGCGCCAGCCAGTGGAAGGGGACGGCCGGAGAGGCGCCCGCTGTGGGCGACCGAGCCGCCGCCGCCGGCGCCAAGACCCGGCGGAAAAGGAACAGGGACCGGCTGCGAGCGGGCGGCGGTGCTGGCGCCGGGCCGGGATGGTGAGCTGGCGCCGCGCTGAGTCGGTGAGCTGGCACCGGGCTGCGCCGGTGAGCGGCGGAGCTGGCGCCGCGCCAGGCCGGTGAGAGTCGCTCCCGGAGGCGGCACTGCAGCACGCGGTGAGTTGGCTGCGCGGCCCGCCTAGGGCCGGCCGGGGCTATCCTGCGCCACTGCCTGTGCCCAGGGACCGGTCGGGGTCTAGGTTGTTTGGAATCGCTCGTGAGTGTTGGTGAGCAAGTGGCGTGTTTTGTGCTGTTACGGTATATGGTATACATGATTTAAATCTTTTGCTGTTTGTTGATTTTCTCGCCTTGGGCTCTTTCAGCTTTCGGTTGCTTGCTATCGGTAGTTGTCAAAATTTTGTTCGAATGTTTGAATAGGCGGATTGACAGAGCCGGAGCCCACGTTAAGCAGATGGTCGCGCAGGCCCCAGCCCCTACCCGTCCGATTAGGCAATTCCGGGTAATGGGGAAAATTACAGGCCGTGGTTAAACGTGCTCAGCAAAGCTGGACGCGGTCCGCCCCACTCACGACTTCAACTGACCGCGGCTGCTCCCACCAACCACGGACCATCCCCGTCAGGAGTCCCAAATATCGAGCGCCGGAGCGGCTCGAACCCGGGCTTTCACTACCGGCAGTCCAGCGCTCTACCAACCGAGCTATCGGATAGACGTCAGTTAGCAGCCTACGGTGCTGTATCGCTTACAGGGAATTCAGCTCCCTTTGTGATGGATTTGTAACAGTAAATTTGTTCCAGCTGCTTGACCTAATGGGCTGGTCTCTCTCTCTCTCTCTCTCTCTCTCTCTCTCTCTCTCTCTCTCTCTCTCTCTCTCTCCTCTCTCTCTCTCTCTCTCTCTCTCTCTCTCTCTCTCTCTCTCTCTCTCTCTCTCTCTCTCTCCTCTCTCTCTCTCTCTCTCTCTCTCTCTCTCTCTCTCTCTCTCTCTCTCTCTCTCTCTCTCTCTCTCTCTCTCTCTCTCTCTCTCTCTCTCTCTCTCTCTCTCTCTCTCTCTCTCTCTCTCTCTCTCTCTCTCTCTCTCTCTCTCTCTCTCTCTCTCTCTCTCTCTCTCTCTCTCTCTCTCTCCTCTCCTCTCTCCTCTCTCTTCTCTCTCTCTCTCTCTTCTCTTCTCTCTCTCTCTCTCTCTCTCTCTCTCTCTCTCTCTCTTCTCCTTCTCTCTCTCTTCTCTCTCTCTCTCTCTCTCTCTCTCTCTCTCTATCTTCTCTCCTCTCTCTATCTCTCTCTCTATCTCTTCTCTCTCTCTCTCTCTCTCTCTCTCTCTCCTCTCTCTCTTCTCTCTCTCTCTCTCTCTCTCTCTCTCTTCTCTCTCTCTATCCTCTCTCTCTCTCTCTCTCTCTCTCGCTCGCTCTGTCCCATCCCTCCTCCTTCCTCCCTGTTTCTCAGCCTGAAAAAATACCTCAGCTAAATTACAGAAAGATGCTCTGGCTTCGGATAACTCAGGGAGCAGAAGGCGTATACACCTTTTTACCATCAAGTTAAAATAAAAGGACTTCAAATAAAATAAATAGGACTTCAAATGAAAGCAAGAGGACTTCAAATTAAAACACCAGGGCAACAAATCAAAGCGAGGGAATTTCATTTAAAAATATTAGGATTCAAATTAAAACCAAGGAATTCAAGTTAAACCCAAAAATGTCATAAGAAGTATATGCTTGATATTTTGGCGGGAATGCTCATTCGGTATTTTAATTATCGCTGAATCTTAATTCATTCTCCATTCATTTTCTTCTAAAGCGGAATACCCATAAAGGCTGGCCAGTGGCCATGATAATATTCGCGTGCGTACAATACGAGATGCAAAAAAACATGTACAATAAAATGCGCATTTTCACCTAGAACTTGACCTAGAGGTTCTTGTCTTCGTTTACAAGTTTTGTTCGCTATTTGAGTACAAAATGAGCTTAGATGTAAGTGAAGATGAATCCAATGTAGACTATTTTGATACCATGAACGAAAACCTATGGTGAGCCGCGACGACGTGGTGTAAAGCCAGGCTTCATGCGAGGAAAATATAAAAGAATGGGCAAGGAAAGGCATGATATTAAGAATGGCATGATATTCAGATAGCATGATGCCTCGATGGTCACGCTCGTGAGAGGGTTCTGCCCAATACCTACAGCTTGGAGGCTGAAAATGTGTATCTGGAGGAAAATGACATCAGAGTGGGAGATGCTTCTGCTTTGATAATTAGCAAACAAACCGATTCAAAATATCCACATTTAACTACATCAAAATCAGATTTAATTTGAATTCCTTCGATTTTTATTGAATTCTCCTTGTTTTAAAGTGAAGTCCTTGATTTGATTTGAAATCCTGTCGTTTATTTGAAATCCTTTTGTTATTTGAAAGTCCAATATTTCAAATTGAAATCCCGTCATTTTAATTTGAGGGTGAAAAGGTGTAGTTTCGTGCTGAGAGAGTTTGACGGGTATCGCAGACGGTGAGTTAGTGCCCCTAAGCTCTCGTGTCTGCCGTTCCGTATGTACAACCAAGATTACTTTATAATATGCACAATGGCAGATCCTCCTTGCGGGTCTGCCAGAGCAACTGGGGCCCGCAGGACGGAACGGTATAGGTTCATTACATACCTGACAACGAATGGAGCAGTGTGACGGAGCCGTATATCGGAGCAGGGTGACGGAGCCGTATATCGGAGCAGTGTGACGGAGCCTTATATCAGAGCAGTATATCGGAGCAGCGTGACGGAGCAGTGTGACGGAGCGTATATCGGAGCCTTATATCGGAGCAGTGTATCGGAGCAGTGTGACGGAACCTTATATCGGAGCAGTGTGACAGAGCAATATAGGAGCAGTGTGACGGAGCAGTGTGACGGAGCCGTATATCGGAGCAGTGTGACGGAGCAGTGCGACGGAGCAGTATATCGGAGCAGTGCGACGGAGCAGTATATCGGAGCGTATATCGGAGCAGTGTGACGGAGCCGTATATCGGAGCAGTGTATCGGAGCAGTGTGACGGAGCCGTATATCGGAGCAGTGTGACGGAGCCGTATATCGGAGCAGTGTGACGGAGGTATATCGGAGCAGTGTATCGGAGCAGTGTGACGGAGCAGTGTGACGGAGCCCTATATCGGAGCAGTATATCGGAGCCGTATATCGGAGCAGTATGACGGAGCCGTATATTGGAGCAGTGTGACGGAGCCGTATATCGGAGCAGTGTGCCGGAGCCGTATATCGGAGCAGTGTGACAGAGCAGTGTGACGGAGCCGTATATCGGGATGGTATGATGACGCGGTGCTCCTGGACCGTCCGTGGTAGCCCAACACGCAGCGTCGCTAGAGAGGTCATCGTCCAACAACTGATTTATTATCAACAAAACAAATGCCTTCATACTACATCCCTGCTATTACAGCTAGTACATAGCTAGTGATTGTACGCGTAGCCAGTACGAAATTCAGTTACACCTACGTCTGTTGTGTAAACCAAACACTACAGTACATATTAGCGCCCAAAGATGCACACAACCCATACATAGCGATAACAATCGCTCCTAATATCCTAAGGAGCATAACAACTTACTATAACATTGGCGTACGGTAACAACGCCGTGTCGCAGAGCCGGCCGCTGGCTGAGTCCGACCGTGTGAGCGGACGGCCGACCTGTCCGCTCAGAAGTCAGTCCTCGTCCGTCGGTCCGTCGGCCCGTCAGTCAGTCCCTCAGCGTCCGTCTGTCGGTCCGTCAGCGCCCGTCCGTCGGTCCGTCTGTCAGTCCCTCAGCGCCCGTCTGTCGGTCCGTCAGTCAGTCCCTCAGAGCCCGTCCCGCGGCCCGTCAGTCCAGTCCCTCAGCGCCCGTCCGTCGGTCCGTTTATGGTTCGTCGCACGCCGCGCAGCGCCCGTTTCTTGTATTGACAGTCGAACGCTGACTGCGAGGCGCGCACACCTGAGTTATTGGATCAACATTGAATGGACACTCTGTACGTTCGATACTCAGCAGTCGGTCTCTGCCGGATTCCATTTGTCGCTCGCAGTGAGTCCGGCTGTGGTGTGCCGCTGGGCCGGGGGGCCGCCAGCCGCAGCTCAGAGACCGGCAGAGCAGAGGCGGTCAGTCGCCGCGCCGCCGGGCGCCGCCTCACAGGGCCCTAGGACCTGCCGGGCACCGTGCGGGCTGCTGAGTCAAGGGCAGCTGCAGGTGCAGAACATCTGTCAACGAGGTGGATTGTTACTATTTTGTTGACCTCGAGGTTACCAGTGACTAGTGAGTCAGTGACGTCATAGGTCAGGTCAACGTCAACATTTAGGTAGGCTTGTTCTTAGGTAGTTCGGGCTCTAGCCGCTAAATAAGTCGCATAAAAATCATATATGGTCTACATTTTACACACTCACATGTATGATGAAGATACCCTGTGGGTACCTAGGTATCGACTATCGAGCATGTATCTATTAAAAGTATCTTTACTCGAAAGTATCGCTATCTCTCCCTGGTTTAACCCGCGAGTTGCTGGGGGGGGGGCGTTAAACGCCCCCACTTTTTTCGCCGGGCCATAGCATAAAAACGGCGCGCCGCAGGCGCGCCAAATTTTGGGTACCTGTAGGGAATTGATTGAAGTTTATTGTGACAAAGTTTAAAAAAATCGGTCGGAAAATTTTTGAGATATCGAGGTTTTAGTGACGTCATGATTTCTTAGTTTTCGACCAAAAACGGCATATGTTCAAAAAATCATATAAAATCACAGAATAGACATACAGACATGCCGTAAACGCCATTAGACTGCCAATACCATGATCAATCAAATGGCTATCTTCGATTATTGATTATCGTTCCGCATTTTCCATAATCTTGAACTGAATCTTGGCAATTTTTCGTGACTTCTTCACGACCATGATACATGCATTTCTTAAATTGAACTTTTTGAGCCAAACACGTACAGATATGATAAAATGAATGTCACCATCGTGTTCTACGCCCCAAATTACCTCTAAAACATGTGTCACAGGCTGCGAATATCAGTTTTGATTTTCGGGGATATGTGCCTACCCGGTTGACCTGACCTTGACCCTAACCTATGCTTGACTGACCCCTACATGGAGCTGACACTCTTGTAGGCCTTATATGATGGATTGTGCACCGTTTGGACAGAGTTTATGACGAAAGGCGCCCATTGCGAAGTCCTGAAGTCCATGCTACTGAAAGCCCGATTTCAGGTGTTTGACCTGACCTTGACCCGACCTGTGACCTCAAAATTCAACTTTGAAGTACTCATCTGAAGCGTCTCGTCGCGCTCTTTCGTTTGCCGCCTCGTGCGTTTCGCTGCGCCTATTGGTTCTCGAGTTATCGGCTGGGGGCGTTTAACGCCCCCCCCCCCCCCAGCAAACGGTGGGTGGCGAAATACCCCAGCAACTGCCGGGTTAAGAGCCACAGGCTTTTGAGGGTTTTAGCCGCCTGGCCGGCCCGCGAAACCGTGAAAACGGTATAGGCCGGCCAAGCGGCTAACCCTGAAAAGCCTGGGGCTCCCTAACCAGCTTTCAAGTAGCGATACTTTCAAGAGGGACAATATTTGGTATGTTTCAGGTCAAAGCTAGGTCAGGCTAGGTCACAAATTGTCACGAAAACTAAGGCTTGCTTAGGTCATGCGCCAATGTTTTGCTTCCATTATGTCCATAGAAATCGGCTCACCAAAGAGATAAGTGCTAGCTAAAAACTGTGCTTTAGGGACCCATGTGTTATGCATCAAAATCGACGGAATCGGCAGTTCAGCATGACGGTGGCACGATGTTGATTTCGATTTTTTGCCATTTTACTCTTGATTTTAGGTACTATTATTATAAGCCATTAGGCCATATATGGGTTAGGCATTCTTGTAATTCGGAAACCACTATAATGGTAATTGAGGTGACCGAATCGAGCTGAACCACATGCTTCTTGGACTTATAGTGCCCTGGCACTGGTGACCGCTCTGACCCGCACTGGTGGCCGCTCTGACCTGACACTGGTGACCCGCACTGGTGGCCGCCCTGACCCGCACTGGTGACCCGGGACTGGTGTGGGGAGTCGGGGTCGGGGACCGCTCTGACCTGACGCCGGTGCCGCGCCGCACGGCCTCCAGCGGGCTGGCGCGGCAGCGCGGGCTGAGCAGGTGGCAGCGCGCGCTGGGTGCTGCCCGCAGCCGCGCCTGCCGGCCGCGGCGCGCCGCGCGCTCCATGGGCGCCGGCAGCGGCGGCCGCCGGCCCGGCCTGGCCCTGCCAGACAGGCAATACACGGAGACGGTTAGAGTAGCGCACAGCGGCGGGAGCGCTGAAATTGGTGGCATTTTCCATGTGTTGAGCCCAGTCACTGTGCTCCGGCGCGCCTGCAGCTCACCCGAAGAGATGGTGAACGAGCCGCTCTTCGGCTGAGGCGGCCCAGCGCGGGCCGACGAACTCTGCCTCACAGATGAGTCGGAGCACACACCGGTCCGGGTCGGCAGTCAGCAGCAGCTGAAACACCACACAGAGCGACCGTCAGCGGCCGAAACACCACACAGAGCGGTCAGCGGCAGCACTGAAACACTGGACAGACACCGCGTTCAGCGGCTGAAACACCGGACAGACACCGCGGTCAGCGGCAGCACTGAAACACCGGACAGAGCGACCGTCAGCGGCAGCACTGAAACACCACACAGAGCGACCGTTAGCGGCCGAAACACCACACAGAGCGGTCAGCAGCACCACTGAAACACCACACAGAGCGACCGTCAGCGGCCCAAACACCACACAGAGCGACCGTCAGCGGCTGAAACACCACACAGAGCGACCGTCAGCGGCCGAAACACCACACAGAGCGGTCAGCGGCAGCACTGAAACACAAGACAGACACCGCGGTCAGCGGTAGCACTGACACACCAGACAGAGTGACCGTCAGCGGCTGAACCACCGGACAGACACCGGTCCGTCAGCGGCTGAAACAACGGACAAACACCGGTCCGTCAGCGGCCACCAGTAGCTGAAACAGCAGACACCAGGCACTGACTACTGCCTGACACTGACTCTGACTCCTGTTAGACACTGAAGTGACTCCTGTCTGACACTGTCTTCTATCTGACACTGACTCCTGTCTGACACTGACTCCTATGACACTGACTCCTGTCTGACACTGACTCCTGTGTGACAGTTGACACTGACTCCTGTCTGACACTGACTCCTGTGTGACACTAACAGCTGTGTGTGACACTGACACTAACTCCTGTCTGACACTGACACTGACTCCTGTCTGACACTGACTCCTGTCTGACAATGACTCCTGTCTGACAATGACTCTGTCTGACACTGACACTGACTCCTGTCTGACACTGACTCCTGTCTGACACTGACACTGACCCCTGTGTGACACTGACACTGACTCTGACTCCTGTCTGACACTAACTCCTGTCTGAAACTGACTCCTGTGTTACACTGACTCCTGTCTGATACTGACTCCTGTGTGGCACTGATTCCTGTGTGACACTGACACTGATTCATGTGTGACACTGACACTGACTCCTGTGTGACACTGACACTGACTCCTGTGTGACACTGACACTGACTCTGACTCCTGTCTGACACTAACTCCTGTCTGAAACTGACTCCTGTGTTACACTGACTCCTGTCTGATACTGACTCCTGTGTGGCACTGATTCCTGTGTGACACTGACACTGATTCATGTGTGACACTGACACTGACTCCTGTGTGACACTGACACTGACTCCTGTGTGACACTGACTCCTGTCTGACACTGACACTGACTCCTGTCTGACACTGACACTAACTCCTGTGTGACACTGACACTGACTTCTGTCTGACACTGACACTAACTCCTGTGTGACACTGACACTGACTCCTGTCTGACACTGACACTAACTCCTGTGTGACACTGACACTGATTCCTGTCTGACACTGACTCCTGTGTGACACTGACACTGACTCCTGTCTGACACTGACCTGTTCCAGTGTGTGCGGGCCGGTCCCGGCGGCGGCGTTGCGGCGCTGGCGGCCGCCCCGGCCCCGGCCCCGTCGCCTTCGGCGCCTGCTGTCGATGGCGCGCGCCACGTCCCGCAGGTTGACGGGCAGGTAGCCCAGGGTGCCGGCCGCCACCAGGCCCAGCATGGCCAGCGTGGCCGCGTACGAGTTGGGCTGCGGAACAGACGGCCCGCCGCCCGGTCAGACAGCGGAACAGACGGCCCGCCGCCCGGTCAGACGGCGGAACAGACGGCCCCGCCCGGTCAGACAGCGGAACAGACAGCGGAACAGACGGCCCGCCGCGGTCAGACAGCGGAACAGACGGCACGCCGCCCGGTCAGACAGCGGAACAGACGGCCCGGCCCGGTCAGACAGCGGAGCAGACGGCGGAACAGACGGCCCGGCCCGGTCAGACAGCGGAACAGATGGCGGAACAGACGGCCCGCCGCCCGGTCAGACAGCGGAACAGACGGCGGAACAGACGGCCCGCCGCCCGGTCAGACAGCGGAACAGATGGCGGAACAGACGGCCCGCCGCCCGGTCAGACAGCGGAACAGACGGCCCGCCGCCCGGTCAGACAGCGGAACAGACGGCGGAACAGACGGCCCGGCCCGGTCAGACGGCGGAACAGACGGCCCCGCCCGGTCAGACAGCGGAACAGACGGCCCGCCGCCCGGTCAGACAGCGGAACAGACGGCGGAACAGACGGCCCACCCCGGTCAGACAGCGGAACAGACGGCCCGGCCCGGTCAGACAGCGGAACAGACGGCGGAACAGACGGCCCGGCCCGGTCAGACAGCGGAACAGATGGCGGAACAGACGGCCCGCCGCCCGGTCAGACAGCGGAACAGACGGCGGAACAGACGGCCCGCCGCCCGGTCAGACGGCGGAACAGACGGCGGAACAGACGGCCCGGCCCGATCAGACAGCGGAACAGACGGCGGAACAGACGGCCCGCCCGGTCAGACGGCCACCCGGCACTGCAGGCCATGTGCGCAGTCACAAATGTCGAGCTGCCGTCGGTTTTCCGCACAAACCTGCAGTGATTTTGTTTTCTTTCATTCTTTTTTTCATATGTTGTCTCACTTGTCTTCACATTAACCCGTGACCCGTTGGGGGGGGGGGGGACTGGGGGCAAAGGGTCACACCCTGTGGTTTTTCGTAGATAACTCAGGAACGGCTGCGAATTTCGACTTAAACTTTTCAGTACCTCTCCAGATATCAATTTTACACAACTCCTTAAAAAATTAGGTCCCAGGTCATCTCGGTTCACGAGCTATAGAGGTCAAACTGAGGTCATGTTCGACGATTTTTCGTCGAAAAGTTATTCACGGAGAAAAATCGCAGAAAATCAGAGTTTCAACTAAGCGACTCAAAAATTGGTCCGTTTGTATAAAAAACATGCAAACAAAATGGCTATTTCAAAATTTCCGAAATAAAAAGTCACTAGATCTAGGGATTTCTAAATTCAAATTTCAAAAATATCCCAAGAAATCTAAATTTTGAATTGTTAAAAAACGGAATACCTATATGTCAGAGAACGCCTTTACACAGGCCTTACACTTACCAAAAATTAACAAAATATCTCTAAAACTGCCAGACATATAGCCATTTGAATGACTGAAATAGTAGCGACTGTTTTTATGACGTCACAATATTTTCGGTAGGTATTTGTGCTTGAAATCAGTCAGGAGTAATATTAATGATGCTAATTAGCCTATTCCTGACTGAATATGATCCTTTACGTGAGTAAAGTCATTTTTACGTAAACAATTGTTTTTCGTTGTAAACCGGTACAATTTGACCTTATCTGACCTTCCTGTGACATCATAGGTAAATAAATGGTCAATGAGGTTTCTGTGGTTGCATATTTATGACATAATCATAAACACTGGAATATTCACAATTTAACATGTCTTTCCTTACGATTCACGAAAGTGTTTTCTGATTGATCGAGGCTGACCTCTGTTGAAATGTCATAGGTCATATCCACTCAGGTGGCTATCCACATGCCAGATCACGGGTGGAGAATGTTTGAAAAAGTTACCCCGGCCGGCGACCGAAAGTCAGAAAGACGATGATGCTCAAATACCTATTTGTCAACGGTTATCAACAAACCCCTATTCTGTGGCATAGAATAATGGATGTCTGTCGTTTGTACGTTTTTAGGGAAATCTGCTGCACGCAGGTGCGGAAGATTTCGTAATTGTAACAACAATTTTGCAACACGCCTTAAAATTTCGGACGCATGTCACCTAGTGCTAGGTCAGGTCATCAGGTCAAATTTGCTGGATGATCGTGCTAAAAATGCCATCATGCCCTTTGCAAAGCTTATTCCGTGGAAGTTGCAACCTTCCCACACAAAACAAAATGTCAAATTTGACCGTTTTGCATGACCCTCTATTGATTTGAGCTCGCACCTGAAATATTATTCGCGACCGAGCCTTAACCCGCGCGGGGCTGGGGTCTCCAGCCGAACGCGCGGGGCTGGGGGGGGGTAAATTTTACCCCCCTGTTATCTCGCGAACTAATGGTCCGATTTGGAAAATTCAAACGCCAATCGAAAGCTCTCATCACGAACTACTAAAAACATGTACTTAATTTAAAGTTTGAGGTCAAGGTCAAGGTCAGGTCAAGGGTACAAATTGCAAGTTTCTACAGTATCGGCCTTACACCGTAGTTGCCGAAGAATGGAGTCATGGACTGAGACTGATCGCCCAAAACGTGTTCTTAGGCTACCAAGACAATATTCGTTGCATACAATATCATTCAGAGGTCAAGGTCAAGGTCAGGTCAGGTCAGGTCAGGTCACCAAAAAACAAAATATAGAAAAGGGCATGTGCGACACATGTTTTATGGGTCATTTTACTCATAGAATTCAATAGGCACACTCAATAAGTGATATGGACCACCTCTGGATGAATTTCAGGTCGAGGTCAGGTCAAGGTCAGGTCAAGTGAGGTCAAATTTTGAAGTTGGTTGTTAAGGCCTAAAAAGGTGTCTATCTGATGCAGTTTTTCACGGCGAATCGAACGGTGCTATTCTTATTTCCGTACAAGGTCTAGAACTTCCAAAAAAGTCATTTTTCAAAAAAATTGTGTGTCGTGACGTCATAAAATTTTGAATAACTCCCACATTTTTGAACCGATTCTTCTAAAATTTGGTATGTAGGTGCACATAGACCACTTCTCTGACATATATTACGGTTTTTT